TGTGTGTTGCTGACAACCTTAACCAGACCGGGATACCCACTTGGAGCCAGTTGGCTGGAGTCCGTCGTAAAACGGGGCGTGTCTGTGTGGACATGGTTCTGAGCTAGCACTAGGATGATATTTTTTATTTTTAATTGAAAAAGGTTTAGGAAGAGTAAATAATTCTATAATAGTCAGACATATTTGGGACTAAATACATGTATACCAGGGATGGGGTAATTGAATAAAGTAATTGTAATTGAGTGTAATTAATTACATTTTCCAAAGTAATTGGAAGTAATTTGTATTTGAGTGAGCTTTAAATTACAAGTAATTGAATGTATTCAAATACATTCCAAAAAAGGTCATGTATTTTCAATTACTTTTCAATTACATTTCAATTACTTTTTTTTCAAAATAAAAGTTTATAAAAAAGTTATATACTGATACACAGTTTTTACACTGGTGGATATATACTACCTATTCCCACTTTTTGAAAATCTCAATTCTACCCGATTCCCACTTGAAAGTAACAATAGATGGATTAGATAGTTATTTTGTTTTTACAGAAATTAAAGACTAACTAAATCCCCTTTAAGATTTTCATGTGCATGTATTCTATACATTTTAGGATGGAAAATACTGAATAGATTTGTGAGAAATATTAATTTATTTTATTCAAAAATATGGATTCAAGAAAGTAACAAACTTCTTGTCATACGCCATGCTGGTGTAGCATGGGCTTGTGTTTGTACATAATTAAATGTCTCATAGTGTTTAATTTAATTTGTTTATACAGTGTGTCACACTGCCCAAATCATTATAGGTAAAAGTCTAAATTGGTCCAGGTGTGAAACCTTGTCATATCCAAGAACAAAAACACCGAATAAAAATTCACTATAGAAAAAAATCTTATTTTTACAAAAAAAATCTTTCTTTTTTTCTAAATAAAACTCAAGTAACTGAAATTTATTTAATTACATTTGTCAAAGTAATTGAAAGTAATTAATTACATTTGAAAAAAATCAATGTAATTGTAATTGCAAGAAATTGACAAAATTATCAATGTATTTGAAAATTATTAATTACATTTCATAGTTATTGACCCCAAGCCTGATGTATACGGATTCACACAGACTTCGCCTCGTCGAATTCGGATTTCCATTTCTCACCCTGTAAGGCTGTATGACTCCGTATTAGCCACTAACTGTCTGTGTAACTAATAATATGGGATGTTTTGATACGAAAAATATATTATTGTCTTTTCCAGGTTGCTCTGTCGGCTGGGTTCCTTTTAATGGACATTGTTATTTCCTGAACAAAACTAAGACAAACTGGTACGACGCAAAGGTAAAACAAAGCAAAACCAAGCTAAAATGTCAATGTCAAAAAACGAAGCTTTGCATCTCTACTTAAATGCAAATTGTCTAGGCTGATCCCTTAGTATCTATTGCTGTGTATGTAGTAGTAAGAATACATAATTACACCTATAATAAATTATTACGAATTGTGTTCTCATGGAATCAACTCTTCGATGTTATCATCAAAGCAAAGAATTACGATGTAATTAAAAAGTATGGTCTCTAACTTTACTCTGATGTAAAAGATTCGATATAGAAATGTACATGTATATATATCTTTTTCACAATGTAAGTTAATTGTAAGTTAATTTTGACGCAAATATATGACAGGTAGAGTGTGAACAAAAAGGAGTCCACCTTGTAGAGATAGAAACACAAGAAGAAAATACATGGATAATAGAGACCTGTCTTTCACCTTGGAATGATGGTAAATTGGTCATTTTAAAGAGAATAGAGAGGTTTAGCTAGCTCACTTGTACGTGTACATGTACGTGTAAACTACAAGTTAGAATTACACGTACACGTTAATATTTTTTTTCTTGTTTAGCAAAGTATAACCTTGTACTTGTAAGTTTTTAAATGTAAAAGTGGTTTACATTTAAAAATCATCCGCAAAAGCAATGATTTTAATACGTATATCACCGTTCTACATAAATATATGCATGTACTTATGAGAAAAAGATTGTACAGAGTTTTTATATTTTTTAATCGGTCAAAGTCTGTTTCGAAATCTAGATGTTGTAATTTTAACTCCCTATAAATTAATATTTTTCAATTACTGACGTTCAGTTCCTATATCAGTATTTGCATTAAATATTCAGGTTTCCGAAAAACGCACACTTTTTGAAAAATAAACAGCAGTTAACGAATTATAAGCTACAAGTTTTGACTTACGTGTACTTGGCAATGTACAGGTAATTTGCGTAAGAACATGCGTGTAGAAATTCGTCATTAGCAAAAGTGATGACGTAATGCACAGATTTTTGGTGCTACACGTACACGTACTCGTACACGTTGGTTTGCTAAACGTCTCTAATAAATAAACTTCCCAAACTTCTAGGAAAGAATTTTATTCATATCTGGCTTGGGAGGATTTCATGATAAATGTAACAACAGTTTTACGTTTATGCTCTTACTTTTCACATATCTCTCCTTTCAATTTCTACAGACTTTTAAGTAAGTGTAGATGCCTCTGATGTAGATTCACCATATACATGCACATAGGTTTTTTTTAAAAATCTTATTATTACCTGGAAAGCGCAGGTCTCATTGCATCATGTAAGAACTGCCATGGCTTCTGAGGAGAGTAACTGGTGTCCATGCAGACGGATTTATTTCCTCTTGTTTTTGCTAGCATCAAGCAAGTCTGATGAAACCCCTGTAGTATCATCGTATATGTTCGTAGTCTTCCTTTGGTTTAAATTTTCCTTTAGAACATATCTTTGACTTTGGGGACCTTAACTTAAAATAAAAAATAACTTAAAATATACATGAGCAAGTATTATACAGAGATAATTCAGCTTTGTAAAACCTTCCCTACAAATTTTATTTTTTTTTCTCCATCTAGTAAAGAAATCACGAGAAAGAAGAATTATTTAGAATATCATTGTCCACAGCGTGTAAGAAATGAAAACTAAGTAAAGTAAATACCATTTATAGTAAAACCAATAGATGAATTAACCACTTACATAAAAATATGTAGGTTTTGAGAGATTATGAAGGGTTATGAAAACACCATTGCTATAGAAAGAAAACTTGAATGAATTGATCGTTGTGGTTTATTTTATTTGACTGTCCATATTTTTTTTACAGTTGACTGTCCAAAGTTAATTACAGTGGACTATCCAAAGTTTATTACAGTTGGCTGTCCAAGTATATTACAGCTGACTGTCCAAAATTTATTACAATATAGATATTATTTTAGTTGACTGTCCAGATATAAGAGAGGTTTAGCAAACAAACATGTACGGGTACGTGTACGTGTAGCACCAGAAATCTGTGCATTACGTCATCACTTTTACTTATGACGAATTTCCACACGTATCCTCTTACGCAGATTACGTGTAGATTGCCAAGTAAATGTTAGTCAAAACTTGTTGCTTATAATTCTTTAACTGCTGTTTATTTTTCAAAAAAACTTGCGTTTTTCTAAAACCTGAATATTTAATGCAAATACTGTTAAAAACGCAGCTATATGTAGGATAAGGCTGCCCCTAAAATATCAGACTGTTCAATTTGTAGTAACTTCTCTGAACTACCTAGATATGACGTCATAATAGAATATGACGTCAAGTCACTGCATACTTGAGCTGACATGTCAGGGAAAGTGTCATAATTTTTACATGGCATGTAAATTTATTTTGGGGACTTGTTTAATTCAAGTGGTAGGATTGTTTTTCAGCTCGAGTGTGCTGTTATGATGTTGAAAAATATGAAATTTATATATCCTGATTCCTTTTGCTTGTCCGATATACACATATTCAAACAATAGCAATATACATGTCCGTAAACAGAGTTAGAATTCATGAATCGTGTTTATATTGGGCTGGCACATGTGAAAGACAGGGATAAATTGAAGATATTCAGCATGAATCTAAAAGAGAAGTATGTCCTCTAAAGGGATATTGCTGGGGGATTGTATGTAGTTGATCCATTTTTGTATAAATCGCGATAAAGAGTGGAAAATACCCCTTCTTATGTTGGTAAGTTTGATTTCTCGTATAATATTTTCTAAAGGAGGAAAAATTAAATCAGCCCCAGCACTTTCTATGTACTGGAGGCCACGATGAATTGATCTATGTTACAAACTTTGCACAATATTTTTGTGTTGCACTTGTGCCAAAAGGATTTTTGAGGAACAATTAGGAATATCATAAATCTCCGTCACGTGATCAACACAGTCATGTGACATCACATAAATGCTTTAAAATAAAACCTTATTTAACTTTTATCTCAAGTTGTCTGCAATTTCAATCAAGAATTACATATTAAAATTAAAATTTAGCTCTGAATAAAATGTATATTTTCAAGACATTTGAAGCCTTCGGACAGCCTTATCATAACTGCGAAAGAACTGAGCGTCAGTAATTGAAAATCATTAATTTATATGGAGTTAAAATCACAACATCAAGATTTTCGAAACAGGCTTTGACCGATTAAAAACATAAGAAATCTGTACAATCTTTTTTCTCATAAGTACATGCGTGTATTTATGTAAAACGGTAAAATACGTATTTAAATCATTGCGTTTTCGGATGACTTTTTCTAATGTAAACCACTTTTGCATTTAAAAACTTACAAGTACAAGCACAGGTTATACTTTGTTAAACAAGACGTGTACGTGTAATTCTAACTTGTAATTTACAAGTACACGTACACGTACAAGTGAGTTTGCTAAACCTCTCTATCATTTTGGTTGATTGTCCAAAGTTTATTACAGTTGACTGTCCAAAGTTTATTACAGCTGATTGTCTTAAGTTTATTACAGTTGACTGTCCAAATTTTATTTCAATTGACTGTCCAAAGTTTATTACAGTTGACTGTCCAAAGTTTATTACAGTTGACTGTCCAAAGTTTATTACAGCTGACTGTCTAAAGTTTATTTCAGTTGACTGTCCAAACTGGTGGGATTGCTGTGAGCATTGGGTAGGAGCTACTGATATGGACGAGGAAGGTGTTTTTAAGTGGAATCATCGTACCATCTTCACGTTTACAAGCTGGTACGAAAATCAACCTGACAATATTAACAGTGCAGACTGTGCCAAAGTTTGCCGGAATGGTCACTGGGATGATGTTCTCTGTGAAGACCCAAATACATTCATTTGTGAAAAAGAGTAAAAGTCTGTTCTAGAGAACTCGAGTAAAACATTTAAAACCAGATCGATCCACAATGCGTATTCGACAAGTACAAGCACAGGTTATACTTTGTTAAACAAGACGTGTACGTGTAATTCTAACTTGTAATTTACAAGTACACGTACACGTACAAGTGAGTTTGCTAAACCTCTCTATCATTTTGGTTGATTGTCCAAAGTTTATTACAGTTGACTGTCCAAAGTTTATTACAGCTGATTGTCCTAAGTTTATTACAGTTGACTGTCCAAATTTTATTTCAATTGACTGTCCAAAGTTTATTACAGTTGACTGTCCAAAGTTTATTACAGTTGACTGTCCAAAGTTTATTACAGCTGACTGTCTAAAGTTTATTTCAGTTGACTGTCCAAACTGGTGGGATTGCTGTGAGCATTGGGTAGGAGCTACTGATATGGACGAGGAAGGTGTTTTTAAGTGGAATCATCGTACCATCTTCACGTTTACAAGCTGGTACGAAAATCAACCTGACAATATTAACAGTGCAGACTGTGCCAAAGTTTGCCGGAATGGTCACTGGGATGATGTTCTCTGTGAAGACCCAAATACATTCATTTGTGAAAAAGAGTAAAAGTCTGTTCTAGAGAACTCGAGTAAAACATTTAAAACCAGATCGATCCACAATGCGTATTCGACTGTTACGTTATTCTTCATTTAATTATATATAAATGATATATTCAGATAAAAATTTGGAGAGTTCGCCAAAACATTTCGTTTTTTTTTTTAATTTCGAAAATAAGTATATTTATTGAAAAAGCATAGCTAGTATATTATACATGTACCAGAACATTAAAGGATGACGGAAATGTGGTATAATTTTCATAACAGACGAATCCCATTATGCCTAAAATATTCCATGTTTCTAACTATTACTGGTGTACCTGACAAACTCTACTAATTAGACAGTGATTCTTTATAATACAATTTCATTGAAAAATAAAATATTATTTAGATTTTTAAAAATATATTCTAAACATTCAAGTAAAACGAGGCATCCATATCCATTTGAATAGGTCCGGCCCTCTGACGTGAAAAAAAAAACACAGCTGGGTACAGTCCACTAATTGTTTTCCCATAGGCGACAATGTTAACGTTTCTTCTCATAGCGATGTCCCTAATTTTCGTTCAGAAGTGAGTGACCCCTCAAATCAAAGCACATCGACTTGTCTTTCCTTGGTTAAAATCTCGAGGTGGCATGTCAGATTCGTTTTCCGGCAAAATGCGTCTGTCTGCGGGAACCTCTAAAAATGAAAGTGAAAGTAGGGAAATTTCAGAGTTCTCACTGGCGTTATAATACACAAAATAATTCGGCTGATCTTCTTGATAAATTACATTTGCCAAGTTTTTTTGGTAGGAAAGATACTGCTAATTAACAAGTGTGAGGCTCAGTTCAGTACATCTGCCCAATTTTTTTTATGCAAGTCTGCAAATTAAGGAACTTGTAATTTTTTCTGCACTACTTTCTTCTCCTACCGATTCTAAAAATAATTAGTGGGATGTACCCAATATGAGAAAGCATTTTTTTGATTTTACAATATTTCACACTGTTTGTCAATCTAGAGCATAAGTAGAGACATCATGCCAAGTTTCATGAAAATTCAACCATTAATTCAGATTTTACAGCATTTATAATTCCATGTGTAATATCCTTAAAAAATGCTCCAATCTAGCCAAAACTGCACCCAAGTTTTAAGTCAAATTTTAGCTTATTAACACATTTATACCATTCTTATTCACCTTCATAACTTTAAATACATATAGTCAAATCATAATCAAGCACTTAATTGGGTCAATTTCACTTATTTTAAAAAAATTATGTATTTCCGCACAAAATATGACCATTTTTCACCCTATAAGTCATAGTTTCTCCAGAAATGACCAAAAAATTAAGTTAACAAATACCCCGAATGTAGTAAAATAAGAAAGTACTGATTATTTCCTGTCCATTGACATATCATTCATGAAATATGGTCCATGAATAAAAAAGTTATAAGCCTTTATACTCCTATATAGAATCATTTGTTTCAAAGCAATTTTTATGCCAATGCAAATTTAGTCATCTAGTGACGTCACAATGACATCATAATAATGGATAGCTCAATACATGTGTATCATCACTTTTCCCGTACTTTTCATTTAAGACAAAATCAGTGATAATATATTCATTATAACTATAAAAAATAAAAATATGTGGTTTTGCAGATTTAATAAATAATCTAGTAAAGCTGTTTTGTTTCCATGGTAACCATTTTGTAATTTGTAGGAAAATGAGACAAAATTTTGAATTTTTGACAAAGGGCATAATTTTGACAGTCAAACATTTATGAAATGTCAATTCTTATATCCGTGTAATCTTAATAATACATAATTTACAAACAAAGATGTAGATCTAATTAATTTGAAATTCTTAAATAAGAAAAGAAAATCTATATGAGCTGCAAAATGTATAAAGCAGTGCATGTACAGATTAGTTATAGATAAATACTTCCATATTCTTATCACCTATTCAATATGTACACCCCCCCCTCCCCACCCCACCTCCACTTCAATGAAATTTTTTTAAAAGAAATTTTAACTTACACATTTTGCCGACTGTCACATTTTGCTGGTGATGTTTCAAGATGTATTCGCATTTGCTGGCCAATAGTTTTAAACACCATCTGCATGAACCTCATGGTTTTCCTGTACCAATCACCATGAACCTAAAAAAAAAATTCAATACAATAAATGGCACAATATCACATTTGCAGACAGACAGACAGACACACAGACATTCAACACATACAATTTTACCATATTCCTTTTATGCCCCTAACTTGAAATTAATTAAAAATGATGAACTTGCTTCCACTTGATATCACACTGTTAACATTGGTAATTAAGTTAATTCAGCAGAATAGGTAAAAAGCATGTTTTACTGACAATAATTGTACATTCAACAAATACATGTAATGCAATTGCTAAAAAATATGAGAAAAATTAGTTAATGTACATGTTCACACACATCGTTTAACTCCCAGACACTGTACCCAGCTTGACCGCGCAACTGATCTGAAATGATGTATGTCCTGTATGTGACCTGTCAATCATCATGTTCCAAAAACATTAAATTGCTATTTACAAATACTGTACTAAGGTATACCTCTTACCGCCTGTGTAAAATACAAATGCCCATCACCCATAAACTGCTAAACACTGCACTGACCAGTTTTGATAACTTTCTGCTAAGTCTACTTTCACTTCGACCTTGACCCTGATTGAATACCGATCCCGACCTCATTTGTGAATTTTTGTGTATTGAAAATAAACCACCGTGGATCATGTACTTCTACATAATTGTTTCTTCATCAAATTATATATTTATGGTTCTGAATAAATAAATGATATAAATCGATACATTTAATCAACACGATACATGTGTAAACGATGGGTGATACACGTATGAGCATGTTGACTGTTCCGGGAGGGGGGGGGGGGGGGGGGGGGGGGGCTAGACACTTTATTTATGAATCAATTTGTTTAAAAATGTATAACAACAATAAAAGAATTGTTTTTTCCATAAATTTTAACAATTGAAAATAATAGAAAACACCAACTTTGAAATAAATTCAAGGTCTATGACATCTATCACTTACTTATAGGCTTCCCAATATGGGTACAGTCCACTAATTGTTTTCCCATAGGCGACAATGTTAACGTTTCTTCTCATAGCGATGTCCCTAATTTTCGTTCAGAAGTGAGTGACCCCTCAAATCAAAGCACATCGACTTGTCTTTCCTTGGTTAAAATCTCGAGGTGGCATGTCAGATTCGTTTTCCGGCAAAATGCGTCTGTCTGCGGGAACCTCTAAAAATGAAAGTGAAAGTAGGGAAATTTCAGAGTTCTCACTGGCGTTATAATACACAAAATAATTCGGCTGATCTTCTTGATAAATTACATTTGCCAAGTTTTTTTGGTAGGAAAGATACTGCTAATTAACAAGTGTGAGGCTCAGTTCAGTACATCTGCCCAATTTTTTTTATGCAAGTCTGCAAATTAAGGAACTTGTAATTTTTTCTGCACTACTTTCTTCTCCTACCGATTCTAAAAATAATTAGTGGGATGTACCCAGCTGCACGAGATTTACATACAAATAAGTTATCTTGGCGTCAGACACAAAGACAGCTGTACGAGATTTACATACAGATATTGTGTCCTTGGCGTCAGACACAAAGACAGGTACACGAGATTAGGATGCATAGTAGTCCTCCTTGACTCCTGACCTAATCTGGAATTGGGAGGGGGGGGGGGGGGTTCGCCTGGAATTAGCAGAGTAATCATATGTATATAGGAAATCTAGTAAATAGTAAAATTAACCTTGGATACACTCGTAGAAAACGGTGATTCCTCCTCAGAAAAACGGATCTATGTAATAATGGTATGATAGTTCATTTGAAGGAAGCATTCACACAGCTTTTAGCTGTCCTGGTTCTTTAGAAGAAGATATTTTTAATCGATGTTCCCTATATATTACAATGTAATTCTTCGATTCCTAATTGGGACCCCATCCAAAGTCCCAGGGGTCATGGTTTTAAGAATATATAATCCCCATATATTTCATTGTGTATATTGGACACCCTTTTTGGCCCCACCCTACAACGGGGCCATGAACTCACCAATTTATAATATACACTTATCCACTGGATGTGAGTTGGATAGCTCTTTTATCAAACCCGCGACAGAGAACTACTCGCTGAGGGCTTGCCTGATGTATAATATATTTTTTGAGCTT